CCCAGGCACCCCTGTTTTATTTTCACGTCTGCCTGTTCCGGCGTTCTTCCTTTATTTCTTCCTTTTTTGAGGTAGGAGCTTAGATCAGTGTTTTCCAGGCTTCTCTGCTGACACACGTGCTCAACGCCGTAGTCTGTGCTCACATGGTGAAGTTCCGATGGGCGGTATTTTCCATGTCACGTTTAGAGCCCTTCCTCATTTACGCTGTCCGTTCCCTCGCCCATGGTTATCCCAAGCTGCTGCTGGACTCGCAGACTTCGGGGGCCTGCTGGTTGCCCGCTGATGGACTGTCTGCTGGACGGGTGCTCTGTTCCTGTCCCTGAGCTGCATTCCCGTCACCCGATGCGACAGCTAGGACAAGCACCTCTTGCTGTCCCTGGTGCGCGGGAGTGAACGCACGTCTTGTGTTTGGCGGGAACACTGCGCTCCTGTGTGCAGGGCTGATGGGCTTGAAGGTCCAGTGTCTCTGCAGCAGAGGTTCGCTGCGGCATCCCCCTGGGGGCGCGCGATCGTGGCAGCAGCTGGGTGTCCAGGGGGCGCTGACTGCCCGCTGTGCCCTTGTACTGCAGGCCTGTGGCTGCCCGCTGTACTGGAAGGGGCCGCTGTTCTGCAGTGCCGGGGGAGAGCGCACGGGATCCATCTCTGTCCACAAGTTCGTCGCCATGTGGAGAAAGTGAGTCTCGCGCCTGTGTGCCGGGGGCGGGTGTTGGGAAGGGAGGCGTGTCCCCAGCTCTGCATAGTCCCAAGGGCAGGTGCTGCCTCACGGCTCACGTTCTGTGGCCGAGACGGCAAGAGGAGGGGGCTAACCTCCAGGGCGTGTGGCATGGCGTGCTGTCCCTTTCCGGGCATGTCACACCCCGTCATGGCCCCGTGCCCTCCTCACCGCCTGTATCTGGGAGGGGCCTCGTGGATCTGGTGTGGGGGGACCGCTGGGACGTCCTCCATCATTGCAGGATCCTCCAGAACTGTCACGATGAGGCTGCCAAGTTCGTCCACCTGCTCATGAATCCCGGCTGTAATTACTTGGTGCAAGACGACTTCATCCCCTTCTTACAGGTATGGCCCGGCGTCCAGACCACACGCACCTCCTCCCAGGTCCACCCCTGCACGTACACCACACACTGGCTACGGGTCTGGCTCCCTTCCCTCAGGGTACTGCTTCCCACAGACATGGTCCAGGGCCCAGCCCCTCTCATGTGTGTGAGTGGCGGGACCACGTGTGCCCCACGTGGTGCAGGTGTGTGAGTGGGGGACCACGTGTGCCCCACGTGGTGCAGGTGTGTGAGTGGGGGACCACGTGTGCC